ACCATCCACAGCGAAAGAAACTTCTCTAATGAGAGCTGCACTAATCTGTGAGTGTAGAGACATGCATGTAGAGGGCAGTTTGTTACTATGTCCAGTTAACAAAATAAGAATAGTAGGTTCATCCTTGGTAGGCCCACCTCTTAAAGTTTCTACCCCATCATAATATCACCATATAGATAAACAAGCTTCCCTGATGTGAACCCACGAAGGATAAACCACATCCAAATCATAGCAGAATCTATTTATGGATGATATGTGAATTATTTGAATTTTTCTCTAGAAATAGCTTTGAGTGTACAGCATTATTGGTTAAGAAATAGCTGAAGGAGTCTACCATTCTAGACACTTATTTTAAGTATACCCAGAATTCTACCTTGTTAATCTTTGGACATCAAAAGAAAATGGCCACTTCCATAGTGATATACAGCACCCTCTTCAGGCAAAAGGAGTAGAATTACCCATAAGGGAAACATCTTTAAAGGGAATTTGTGCATGAATTTCTTTATTGTTGTCCTTTGACAGAAAACAATCATTTTTGCTGAGAGAAAAACAGTGGCATGAAAGGAGTATTGTGCATCTCTTGATCATCTCTATTTTGGAGTCACAGACCCTATGAATTGCTCCTTTCCTCAACAATTAGCAGACACAAAAGTTTGAGGTCAGTTTCTGGGGTTTGTGGACCTTTGGGTCTCTGGATGTACAATCAAGCCAAGGCCAAGCATTTCTGCCCTAAAGGACTTCAGACCTGACCAAGGCAAATTCATGGTCCTCTCTGACAATGGCCAACATTTAACAGTCTTATACTTTTTTGGGACTCAACATGTAGTTAAAGGTACATAATGTTGCAAAGGAGAGAGTCAATTAATGAGATAATTTCTCCTAAGAAAGACAACTGCAGGCAGAAACCACATAGTGTCCATGAATTTGAAAAATAATGAAATCTTATAAGAACCATTTGGCAACAGATACATTTGTATTTACAAAACAATATGAATAGACCTAATTGGTTGTATTTAATAAACATTTGCTCATTATAACTCCCACACTGATAGGAAATTCCATAACATAGGAATATTGTTATCTAAAGACAACTAGTGAACTTTTGTTACACAAGAACCAGGTGATGCTTTCAGCAATGGTCCTTGCTTATAGTTTAATCATATTCACCCAAGATCTGAAGAGATATAGTTAGGACTAGAGAAAAGAAAATTCTGAGAGTGTGGGGTGTAACTTCCTATGAAGCATTCTATTCTCATACACCCTGTGACCTTATAGAAATGGGAACCATGAAAATATTTTCTAGCTTGGGGGGTTAATCTATAGTTCACTTTCTCCAATGTGTTCCACCAAAGACCAGATGGGATTCTAAAATGAACTAGGCTCTCACTACAAAGCACCCTTGTAGCCTGAGGCATGAAGAGGTATTGCAAATATGTGTGCTATGTGGAGGTCCCAGCAGGATTTCCACAGAGAGCCTGTCTAAAGATGCATGTCCACTCTGGGAAGCACACCACTTTGAACTTCTCAGTTCACTCTAAGCACTGACCTTGTAGCATGGGCAAAGAGGCCAATTCAAACCATGTGTAAAGAATAAGGTCAGGGCAGACCCAGTACTCCCACCCCACTGCCTGGCCATGGTCCCAGCTTCAGACACTTCACAGCTCCTTGCTTGTGGGACACGCTCTCTAAACGCACTACAGCATCATAGCAAAAGCACACATCTCACCACGAGGAAGTTTGGGCATCATTTGTCCCTGGATTGAGTTGTGGCGCTACCAGAACTCTACCAGAACGTCTCCACTGCATGACTTTAGACAAATTACTGAGACTGGGCCTTCAGGGCCCTCACATGTATAAAGGGATGCTTACACCTAAGTTGTAGGATACTACAAATGCTAATTAAGATAACAAAACATACAGGGAAGCAGTCTAGTGCCATCATCAAGCTCTGTCAGCCTCAGTTTCTTTGCCTGTTAAACGTCAACAATATTTTCCCAGTGAGATCCTCATGAGCATCCAGCGAAGGGCAGCAGAAAATATTGAGCAGAACATGGCAGTAAAGTGGAGGCTCAAACACAGCAGTGCTATTTCCCTTCTATTTTTTCCTACACACAGCGCAGAGGGAAAAACTAATTGTTTTCCTACTATCTCATGGTCAAATTAAGAATGTTGAGTGTTCTTGGGCCAGTGAGTCGAATCAGCAAGTAAGGGCACATGCCACCAAAGTCCGATTACCTGTCCCCAGACCCCACGTGGTTAAAAGAGAGAACTGACTCTGGGAAGTTGTTCTCTGACCTCTGCAGGCATGCTGTGGCATGGGGGAGCAGATACACCAGCACAAAAACGAGCAATCAAACAAATAAATAAATAAAGGAAAAAGAAACCTACAACAGAAATTTAGTGTTCTCAAAACTATCTTTTTACATGCCCTGAACATTTTTTTTTTTTGCACAATGTCTACATTCTCTAAAAAGTGCTAGCATGTGTTGAATACACACAGTTTCTAGGACTACAAAGCAGAGGCAGAGTTATACAGATTCTGTGAAACCTAAAGAAAACACACCAGGAGAGTATCAGTTTGGAATTAATTATGTGTCATGGAAAAATTTGGCAATCTTAGCCAATACATATCTGGGTACTTCTTCAAAATCTCATCGCAACTGGTGTTTAAAAAAAAAAAAGTTTGGCCATCAAATGAAAGATTTATATAATATTTTCATAATAGCGATTTTCATCCTGTAGCCAGGTTACCTTAAGGAGGAGAAAACCCAGTTGTGCAGCCTACCATGAAAATAATTCCAGGAGCAACCAGACCTCGGTATTTGGAGAACTCTGCTCTCAATTCATTTCCTCTAATTCACTTGATTTCCCCAGCTCTCAATTGCCAGTGCATGTGTCTCAAAAAAGGCTATTGTGCCACCAAACTTCCAAATTAGGTGCTGGACATGTGCCTTCCAGATGCCCGACAGAAAAGTGGTTAGGAACGCAAGAAGATTTATGTACACTTGACATTGGTTAATGTTTTGTCTGCATGAATATATGTGCACCACGTAAGTGTGTAGCGCCCTCAGAAGCCAGAAGAGGGCACTGGATACCCTGGAACTGTAGTTACAGATGGTTGTAAGTGACCATGTGTCTGCTGGGAACTGAACTGAATCCACTGAAGGACTAGTAATAAGTGCTCTTAACAGCTGAGCCGTTCTCCAGCCCCACTTACAGTTTTTAATAACCATCTCCCTTGTGCTAGTTCCACGGAGAAAGCAGTAGGTTTTTAGTGCTAACTCACTTCCATCTACATGAGACTGCACATGTGCACGCAGTCACTGAAAAGCGGAGTTACCAGTCTCTGTTGTGACCTTCACTCTTGGGTTTGAGCACAGGGGAAGCATTGACAACTGCAGCTGCTCTGTCAAGTGTCACATAAGGAACACGGGTCACAACTGCTGACTTAAAGTCCATTGCAACCTGTTCTTTGTAGAAACAATGACATGGGGAGATTACCAAGGGGCTCAGTGCTGTCATGGTATCCATGTCAGGAGCAAACCAAGATGAATTTGTCCCAGGGAACACCAGGAAAATAAGGCAAGTTTCAGTGCACAAACCTTCAGACTCAGTTGCTAAACGTCAGTATTTTTGAAGGGAGTAAAGGCTTTTCTCTAACAGAAGTCCTGTGTATATATGAGCCTACTAGTATTTCTTTACATGGAAAAAAACTATTTCTTGCAAACAACTAAATAAACAAAAAGAACTATGCAAACAGAATAGTCTTCATTACAATGTTTAAAATTACATTTACAGAAAGCAAAATATAGGAACACACAATCAGATTGATAGTATTATTATGTTGCTTTAAGAGAACTGGGTAAGAGTCCATCAAACTGGGAAGGTAATGCCTCAATGCTCCATATGAAAAACAATGATCAAGATTTTCCCTTTTAATATTAAATAGTATTTTATGCCTTCCTCTCTTACAATAGCAACATCTATTTATTCTGCACCATTAGGTGCCACTGAAAAGACCATTCAAAGCCCCTTTGTTACTTCTTGGTGACATTTTGGGGCCTTTGGGAATACAAGTTATTACTTCTTGGTGACATTTTGGGGCCTTTGGAAACACAAGCAACAGTCACTTCTCACTGTGCAATCGGTGATGACAATTTACTTTTTAGGATAGAGCATCCATCTTAGCAACTTTTCACACGACGTGCATGTGATGCTCGTGTCAACATCAGGCAGAGCAAACAAGGCTTATGAGCAGGGACTAAGTAACAGATAAATCACGTCCTGCACCGCGGATGTAAAATGCTCCGTTCTTCCCGTGCATTATTGGCTTTGTGCTGTCTCGCCACTGCCACAGCTTAGGCGTTTTTTCTTTCCCTCTCTTTTTTAGTATGACTGCCAGCATTTTGATGTCATATGTTTTGCCTTACTGAGCCATTTGGACCACAGGTGTGCCACTGTGTTTTTGACGGAGTGTTGCTATTCCAGAGTGCTCCATCCAAAACACAGCCCCACACATGTAATCCAAGCCCAAAGATGAGTCAATCATTGCATTTGCTGTGGTACTCACGAGAACTTTGTACCAGCTTTACAGCCCTGCTAACACATATCCTAGTAAAAGGACAAGCCTGAAATTTTAAAGACTTACTCTCTCTCATATGAATTTTTAAGGGAGAATTTCTTTGTGTGCATCCACTCTACTGGAGTTAAATTGTTGTCAGATTGCAAAAGGCTTTTTTTTTTTTTAACAAATAATCCCCCTTTCACATGCCTTTTTAACACCCTTTAAATAGGAACATTTCCAAAATGCCGTTTAAATAGTCTTCGAAGTCAGAACCAGGAACTTTAAAAGAATTTCCTAACAATGAAAATGCTGGTTAAGATTCTAGCGACCCTGATAAACACACAACAAATTTCAGGAACTGCATGCCAAAGGCTTTAGTTTCTTATTGCATGAAGGAAATGCCCGCTTTGAAAAAGCTCACAACAAAGAGAATGGCCCGGTTTGGGAGGTTTAATCTGGGTATTATTTTCAAGGCACACTTTGGAGAGGGTCTTTGAGCTCCTCGAGCACTCCATTAGAATTGTAGACTTGCCTTCGCCGGTGTTTATTTCTTGAACTGATTGCGGTTACGACATGATTAGTGGCAAAGATGCTTAAAGGGAGGGAGGGACCAGAAGGACAGGTGTCACAATCTCTGCACGCTTGTTTAGCGCTTGCGCGGCCAGCTCCACAGTGGCACATTTGGCACGATGTGGGTGGCGGCCTGACTTCAAATACTCAGCTGCTCTGGCTCCCAGGGCACTGACAGACTGTCTCCTCCACTTCAGAATCCTCCGGTGATGAGTCTCCGACCTTTTAAACAGAAAAGCCTGACAACCATATGGTGATTTAAAGAGTGCTATCTAACGACACGAGGGCTTTATGAAGCACATCCCTACGTCACGCCACTTCATGCGGTCAGGATTGTCTGCTGTTCTTGTGAGAAGCCACCTCCCAGTCTGTATCCTTTAACAAAAGCGTGGGCCTTGACTAAATGGGAGGGGGTGGGGAGGATGTGGCTTGTAAGGCATCTATCCCAAACTTCTCAGAGGGGCAAAAAGATCATGTGTGTAAACAATTCATAATCTTAAAACTTCTTCCCTCCAAAGCAATTGTTTTTTATCTCAAAGATGTCGGGGGCTACCACTGCAAAGCCGTGACTTTTCTATTGTACCATCAGTTGGTAGACAGCCTCGTCATCAATCTTAACATTTTGTTGAGAAGTTTTAATTACAAAGTTCTTACAATGTTTGGAGTGAGTTCATGAGTTCCATGCCTTCTGTTTTGGATTAGGGGTTCAAAAACTCAGTGCAAATAGATGACCTGGCCAGCAATTCATGATGATACTTCAAACAAAATCCTTGTCAGCCAGATAATGCCTCTGTATATGCAGGTGTTCATACAGCCAATACTAAACATCTCCCAGGACAGAATCATACATTTAACCAAGTTGTTTTCCTTTGGGGAAAATAATGAGAGTTTGGTGTAAAATCCTGGGTAATGTTTTCATACCAGAAGCTTCCCAATGTCATGAGGAGTTGTTACATTCCAGGAGGCAGAAAGGCAGAAGTAACTGTGCATTAGGCCCCTCCTCTTCGAGGCTGGCTTCAAGGCTCCCAAAATTGACTGTGTTACCAAGCAATACCAGGTTCCCCTCCCATGTGACATCACACAGGGAGGCTCCAGAGCACTGTCTAAAGCAGGCTTGCTTCGGTCAAGGTATCTCTGACGAGCTTCTCTGACAGGGAAGCCAGGAAGTGTGTCTGCCTCTACCACTAGGCCCTGGCAGTGGTGCTCACAGATTTGCTGGAGTTGAGGGAAAGGGGGTGCTCTTTGATTCTGATGTTCACAGCACCCTCTGCTGCCACAGAATTGGGACTGTGCACCAAAACCAGCGGTGCCCAGGGAACAGCCCAAAGAGGCCTAGATAGCCACAAGTGGAATCTGAGAGCATCACAGATGTACTGAGATGTTGGCTGAGCCCATTTCTCCATCACTCCTGTATCCCCAGGATACAGACTGCAGGGTTGCCTGGCCCAAGCACAACCCAGTCCCTCTACCGGAACCTTCTCACACCTGCTACCCTGCCTCTCAGCTTCTCCATAGCAGATTAAAGAACTGGCATGCTGTTGGGGAAGGAGGGAAGCTAATGGGTTCTGAAAGAAAATAGGAAAGACATGTAGCAGGGTTGACTTGACTCAACCCTAAGAAATTAAAAACCTGCTTCCATTTTTTTTAACCACGTTGTAGTTTCACAACAAATTTACACATGAATGCTGTCACTGTTGGAGGAAATGGATAAGAATTTGGAGTGATTTCCAAGTTAGCAAATGAATGTGACATGTAAGACAATCTCCATGTCTTAAACCCTGTGGCTGGAACACAGTATATTCCAGCAACTTCCAAAGCAACGAAGATGCCAGATGTCCACTGTCTTGTATTTCAGTACCTGGGGCCCTTTTCATTTGTTTTCTTTTACAATGTGATGATGCTGGAGATGCATCCTGTTGTATAAGATCTGTCAAAAGCCGCAGATGACAAGTGTCAGTACACTGCCCACTCACACCTCCTTGGTTAGACTGTGCCTAGTACTGGCCAGGCAAAAATCTGGTATGCTGTTCTCAAAAATATAAGCAGCCAAACAGGAATGGATTTTCTTTCTTAACTGGAAGGGGGGGATGGGTGTCGGCCCATGGGTTTATTTCCATGGTTCTCTTCCATCTTAACTAAGGGAAAAGCTTGCAAGTCCGTTACTCCAGTATTATATTGGGAATTTTTAAACAAATAACCATTTTTTATAACATAAAGTGTGTCCCAATTCACCCCAAGCCCATGAGAGAAAGGAAAACCGCTTAGTACAGAGGACAAACGCTACTAGAGCGAGGACCTCTCCCAGTGTGGTGCCGAGAGCAAACACACATTCACATACTGTTTATTATACTTCGGGAATTAAGAAAAGTTCCGTGTGGGGAAATTTTTCCTAGCTGTATTTAGAGAGTGATCTGAGATGTGGGAAAGTTGTCTATTGCTTATGTTATTTTTTTCACCCACTTTTGAATTCTTTGAGGCTCCATTTCCCCTGAGTTCAGCGGATTGCCACCCACCTTGGCTCTTCCTGCCTCTGCCCCAACAGGCTTTCTTTGTTGTTTTATCTAATCAGATTCAGAGGCCCTGCTAGGGTTGGCCCACTTGGACTTTGCAAGGAGGTTATATTTCTGATTTCCCAGGCTTCAGAAGAACTAAAAATAACTGACTGAACATCTGAAAGGCAAAGCTGTTCTATCTGCCAGTATCATCAGGAGATGGAGTTGGGCTTAACCAAGAGAGAGGCTCTCTCTGCTCTATGCAAACTTGTAGCTCATATCAACCTGCGTGGCTGGAGCTTCTGTGTGTTTCATGCTCATAGGCGACATATTTTCCTTACGTTCATCCATTAAAATTATCCATATTAGGGGCTGGGGAGATGGTTCAACCGTTGAGAGTTCTTCTTGCTTTTCCAGACACCCAGAGTTCAGTTCCTACCATCCATCTGTGTCTCACAACCACCTGTAACTCCAGGAAATCTGACGATTCTCCTCTGGCTCTCGAGAACCAGCACCCAGGGTGATATACCTTTACACAAACATATACATGTACACATAAATACAAGCAGATCTTTTTCAAAGTATCCATATTAGCACCTATGCTTCAATGACAATCTTAAATATAAAATTATTCATGGGTCATGTTGACCTTTCTCCTTGTTGAGTCATTAGACTTGGTAGACAAGGTGTTCTCCACATATGAGCTAAGGCCCCGACCCCCCAAAAAAACTAGTCTTAAATAACACCAATGGAATGAATGTCCTCTGTCTGAAGGATCATTATTGCCATCTAGAACCACATTCTACGTTTTAGTCTCATGTTAATTCTTTTCCTATTTAATGTGGAACCTAGCAGAGAAAATTGAACAATGTGTGCCCCTAAGACTCATTATGAAGGATTTGCTAATCAACACGAGCAAGATTCATTTCACAAGCCTCTGCTGGCTGGGACTTCCACCCTTGTGTTCTCTAAAGATGGATAATGCTCATGAAACATGGTGAGGGAACATCTGTCATACATGAAAGATAAAAGATATCTGGCTTTTCTTTTTCATGTTTTATTTTTTTAGAGCCATAAAAATGAAAGAGACTAAGTCAAGGGGAAAAGTTAAAAAGGGGGTGGGGTGGGGTTTGTACTGCTAACTCTGCTAGGACATCAGAGAAGATATAGAATTTCAGTTCTGAACAAATATATGAAACTAGAGACTATGAAAATAAATATTTAGCCATATTCGTAGTTATACTATTGTAAATGTTAGGCGGTTCAGACTGGATTAAAAGGCACAAACAAACATTGTTGGACCTGCTTTCTCTGTCATGTTGACTATAGTAATCCTGTCTTACAAGACTAAGCAATAAAAAAGATGGTAGACACTCCAAGATAATATTAAATAGCATCATTACTAATAATCATTGAAAACATAGAAATGTTACATGGAAATTGTAATAAGTCATTGTAAATATGGCATTAATACCCCCTGTAGGGAGTGAATGGAGTCCTTGGTGAATGTGTATTGTTGGACATGAGTGTAGCCTTGTAAAGGACTCCAATGCCTCAGACCCATGGGAGTGGCAAAGCCCCGAGTTGGGAGAGGCTTAGAGGGATGGCAAAGTATTCCTCTCATCCTAGGGAAAGTGTTGACAATGTGTGTAGAAAATGTCCATCATGCCCAGATGTCCATTGCCTGAAGATTACCCCCCTACAGAGTTGGCTACTACTGAGATCAAGCTAAACCTGCCTCTTTGTTCAGTTGTATATCATCCTGCTTCCTTGTTCATCTGTACGCAATAACCACACCTCCCTGTTCAACTGTATACAATAACCACACTGAGCTTCGACACCCCCCCACACACACACACACACTTAGGCATAAATAGCCAACTGGCCACTGTATCCCCATATCTGTGCTGTCTCAGTCAGTACTTTGGAATAATAAGAGTGACATAAGTGGGGGAAGAATGAGTGAGACCGTCGCTGCACAGGAACAGAAATGAAATCTCCCACGCTGAATCACAAAAGCTTTAGTAGAGATTCCTCACTCTCTGCATGATTTTGTAAACATTTATCCAGTTCTGACCATCTTTTAAGCTGCACTGGGACAAGGATGATATCTGAAACAGTCCCAATTGTCCTCCAAGACCCACCAGCACACAGTAAGTACTTGCAAAATACTCACCAATGGTGAAAGAATGAATAGGTGAATAGACTAAGTAGATGTGGCTTCCTTCCCATGACATTTTTTGGTGAGAAACATGAGATAGATCGATGTTTTCTGTGAACATTGGCCACATTTCATTTTCCTCCTTGCTAATACGGCTTTTCAGTGTAAAATTTTGCAAGGGTTGAAACAGAACTCCAAAGCCTTTTTCCTGCAAACTGAATCCCTCTGTTACTATATAGCCATTCCAGGCAGAATTCTGTTTGAAATGAAGAAAGGCTGAATAGATTAGGGAGGAACAGGAAATCCCTTTGAAGAAGAGCCTGAGGTACAAAAAAGCCACAAGCCACAAGCATTGACACTTGTTAAAAAACAAAAATGATCAATATCTCCATTCTCTTTCCTGCTCCAGTAGCTTTCATGTTTCTTTTCACTCCAAAAGCTTCTTTGGCTAAAAGAAAAAAAAATATTTTAAAGCATACAAATTTATCTCAAACCATGTTAGATGTTTAGGGTATCAAAAGCATGAATATTTTTGTAAAAGTATTTTCATAGGTCTAGACTTGCTCACAGAATAGTGTATACATATATATATATATATACATGCTAATATCAATATATTATTAATAATATTTAGTTATAATATATTTAATTTTATATAATATAAATTATATATTATTACTAATAATATATTCATTGCTAATACACAGACAGCTAATATTTTATTTTATGTAGCTCAAGTAACTTTGAAGTAGAATCTTGCATGCATTGAGTATTTTGAATACGTTATCTTCACAATAAATGGAAGAAAGATTTCCCCAGACACATTAAACAATGTCACACATTCAAAACCTCTTTCTTTTGCATGCGTGTATGCATTTCTTGTATAAAACATCTATTAACATATACAGAAGTCTATCAGAGACAAGTGTGAACTAGGGTGTCACAGGGGGAAAAAGGATGTTTCACTGATGAGCACATGGGAAGGAATTGATCGGCTATACTGAATGGTGTTGTTGGTTGATTTTTGCTCTTTTGAGAAACCCACCACTCAACTCCCAAATAAATCACACATGGAGGCTTATTCTTAATTATAAATGCCTGGCCTTAGCTTGACTTGTTTCTTGCCAGCTTTCCTTAACTTAAATTATCCCATCTACCTTTTGCCTCTGGGCTTTTCCCATTCTCTTACTTCTGTAAATCTTACTTTTACTCTATGGCTAGCTGTGTATCTGAATGATTGGCCCCTGGAGTCCTCCTCCTCCTCTGGCTACTTCTTTTTTCCTCCCAGATTTTTCCTTCTATATATTCTCTCTGCCTGCCAGCCCCACCTATCCTTTCTCCTGCCTTGATATTGGCCATTCAGTTCTTTATTAGACCATCAGGTATTTTAGACAGGCACAGTAACACAGCTTCACAGAGTTAAATAAATTCAACATAAAAAAATAACACATCTTAAAATAATTCTACAACAGAATGGAGCTATGAGGATCTGCTGGGTAGGTAGAGGATATTTTGTACTTGGAATCTTAGACACTTTAGGAGGTGCTTAAGGGCTAACTGGGAGTCAAGGGTGAGATCTGCAGGTATATTCTGGGTCTATATGCCTGTTTCTCTTTAAAGTTTCTTTATCTGTATGCATTAGTTCTACATGTTGGTGGAGTGTGGGGGGTTTGTGCATATATAAAGAAGTCTGCCTGTTCCAACAAAAACACACTTATTTTCAAGTGTTTGATAATTCAGGGCTCCATGAAATGGGTCATTTGAAAAATTAATCAGCTGCTTAACAAAACTATAGTACCTCTTCCTCCAGTTAAAATTGAGTTTCACAGGTTACACAAAATACTTTACAATGG